TGAAGTGAAATAATCAACAAGTGACCACCCGTTTACATTAAACCAAATTATATAAAAAATAGGTTATAATAAAAAAATAGCATACTATACGTTATCAAAACCATATGACAGCGTCCGCTTGTAAAGTCTGTGAAAATATACGAACATAAACATTAAAATCGATTTAATAAACGTTAAAAAAGTAGATGGTTTAGAAATAAGGAAGAGAATAATTCTAAATCTTCTATCTCATGAATTAAATATTAAAAAAATTAAAAAATCACAAAAAAGAAGTATAACAGAATCAAAACAGTTTTAAAAAGATACAGCTCGTCGCTAGATGAAAAACTGCAACCGTTTTCAGTTCATCGGTCATATTATTTTCACATTCAAATTGAATATGGCAGTAAAAATATTTACAGCAGAAAGTTCTCTTAATGAAGAAGAGCAAGTTATTATTTTAATAATTAACATTACTGGTATAACACAACATATAATACTATCCACTATGACATATTACAACTTAAATAAAGCAGCAGGCTATGACCTCATTTCTGCTGATCTCTTAAAGCATTTTCCGGTATGTGGAGTGAGAATATTACATCGACTGTGTAGTAAAATCTGGCACACAGTCGTCTGGCTAAGGATTGAAGAAAGGCCATAATTACACCCCTATATCAGAAAGGTCCAACAAGTAATTGTAACAACTGGACTACTTGCTCAACTGGTTTGTGAAAAGCAGCAATTGATGGATACCTATTTTTTCATGTATGAAAATAAAAATAAACACAGTTCTTTACAATAATCATCTCAGTTTAGAACTAAAGACAATTAATAGGTTAAGTGCTACATTGACTGTGCTTTGTATAGAACAGAAGTGTGAACACCAAAAGTATCAAGTATCAACAGAATTGAAGCATTGGAAATGTGGATTCATGGATATATGCTAAAGATGCCTTCTCGACAGCAAGAAAAACTAATGAAGAAGTACTAAGTCAACAAAGATTAATAATTGCTAAAGACTGTTAAACACAGGAAAATCCGGGACATATAGTAGGGGAAATCGATATAGAATATTATCCTGATCCTTCAAGGCAAAATAGAAAGCCGTAGAGGTGTAGGAAGAACACAATTGTCTTGGTTAAAAAAAATCGTGAATGGACCGAGATATAAAATACAGAACAATTATTCCATGTGGCATAAGATCGAGAAGCCTTCGCAATGGTGATGCCAACGTCGGATAGCTCTGATATGGCACGTGAAGAAGAAGAAGGATACCTATTTGACGAATGCACTTTGAAGAAGGAAGTAAGCCAAGAATGCGTTTTATCTCCCTTACTATTTAACATCTATTCAGAGTTCATAATGCGCAGAGCCTTGGATGGTTAAAGGGAGGAATAATATTGACATTGCGTTTCGCAGACGACACTACACTTCTAGCTCATACTCCAGAAAAAATTACTAACCTATTAACTAATGCCAACAACAGTTTCCTGAAACCCAAACTACTGCGGGATGTGAGGTAGTCTCCCCTATGATATATCTTGGAGTTCTAGTTAACAAACAGGTAGTTGTGAACCCAAAATTGGAAGATGCATTCAACTATTAAGAGCAGCAATGACTGAACTGGGGGTCTGTCGTGATCGTCATATTATTATGACAAACAAGAAGACACTCTGGTCTTTTCTATATTTTACTATGCGTGCGAGACATGAACAGTCAAAGAATCAGAAACCCAATCAGCGTCCCTCTATTACTGTTTACTGTAGAATTTTAAAGTTCTTTGGTCATATCCATCTAAGTGATTACAAAATGGAGCGGTTCGTGGTACAAGAAGGCCTTAGAATTACGTCAACCTAGCAGATCTTTACATAGATAGGCAGAATTACGAAAAAGCTTCTCAACAAATAGTATACTGAAGGCAGTACATGTAACAGATGACCGCGACCAGTGGAGAAATATCAATAATCAGAATATTTGAGCTGCTGAAGCTCAATGACGAATCACAATACATCTTCCAAGAGGTTAACGACTATGATGATGATGTATCAGTAACATATTACAGTATACTGGTATCGAATACGCAGTATTCATGTAAAGTACATTATTATACTCCTATTTTGTTGCCCATTTGTATTTTTAAGATATTGCCTTGTACTAACAAACTTCTATAACTGAGAAAATAGATTAGAAACATAACTAACTCTATACAAAAATATTCTTCAAAGCAAATCAGATTGCATTTCCTTAAATCTGTATTTAGGTAAACATTTAATAAAAGGATGTATTGCATTTACTCTTTAATAATAGAGTAGCGACAAACATTAAAATATATTTTCTGAATAATACAACGCATTTTATATTTACAATGCTAAAGTTATGAGTTTTAAAATATAAAAGTATGTTTATGTATTAAAAAATCACTAGAAAATTATTTGATCTGTACCATTAAAATCATTCGTGTATGTTGCAAGTATAGTTAGATATTTCGATAATTTACAATACAAAATTATAAGTAAGGAAAATAATTTATCTACTTGGAATGCGTGTCTTTTGACCATCTCTTTCTGATGTAAATCATGTTTTTAAGACTTAAATTACATATTTTTTCGTTGTGTATATTAGTAAAAAGTGTATATGCCAATCTTAAGTAATCGTCTTTACTTATTGTATAAGATATCAAAAATAATAAAAATATTTTCTTGTTCACCTCATTTAGGATTCTTTCGTTTTACTACAATTTTAAGTAATAATTCCCCAGTTCGTTTTATTTTTACTAAGATATCTGCATTTAGGGATAGACCTACTCCTCTCTCTTGATGGAATACAGCGAAGTCCGTAACTCGCCTAAAAAATCTATAGTGGGACCTGATGATATTCCGGTAAACTTTATCAAAAATTTCCCTTCAAACGCTCACCAGTACTAAAGTTATTTAATTTAATATGGATGCAAAATAAATTTATATCAAAATAGTCAGAACCTATTATTATGCTATTCTTAAAACCAAACTATCCAAAAAGTAATTAAAATTTTTATAGACCAATACATTTGACATTAACCATGGGTAAATTACTGGACACAATTGTAAATAAAAGGTTTTTATGGACTTTTGAGAATCGAAACTTTCATTCCAAAAATTCGAAAAATCATTCCAAATCAAAGTGGTTTCCGTAGAAATCGGTCAACAATGGAATATATTTAAGCATTTGAAAATGACATACTTGAAGCTTTTGCTACCACTCAAAAATGCGTCGTAATATTTTTTGATATCAAGAGAGCATATGATACTAATAATTGGAAACACCTAATAGTTAAGAAACTACGTATTTTAATAACAGGCCTGACTAGGGTTCATTAATAATTTCTTAGCCAACCGATCATTCCCACTTAAAACTAATGGTAATAGTTGTAATGTTATCATCAAAAACAAATCTAGAGAATGGTATTCCGCAAGGATCAGTTTTAAGCCCCAAACTTTTTTTGGTAGCAATAAATGATGTCTTAGCCAGTACGAAATCACCATGAGAAGGTATCTAATACTCAGATGACCTTGTTATCTATGCGAGAAGTCAAAATGTGGAAAACATCATAAATATGCTATAAAAGTTTTTACCTCAACTAAAGAAATAGTCGAAACATTGTAGACTTTAATTTTTTACAGAAAAACACAACTTATATTTTTTTCAAAGAAAATCTACCCTAATCACTATATCCCAGATCGAAAAAATAAAGTCAAATTTTTGGGAATGAGATTTGATTAACATCTAAATTGGAAAGAACATGCATACTAATGACAAGCAAGATTTAATATCCATTAAATAAATATAAATAAAAATATATATTATATAAATAAAAATGAAATCGCGATATACAAAAATAATTAATTCAATTACTCGACAACTAAAACCTCAGCTCGATAGCGACTCCTCCATAGAACCTTCTACATAAGCTCACATTCAAATCTATTCTGCAGTGGAATTTGAACGGTTATTATACCCGTTTTTAAAATTACTATGACAAGTATTTTGACAGCAGAATTATTTGCCATCAATAATGCCCTAACCTTTATTCTAGAAAAAAACTGCCCAAATCTCTTATAATATCTGATTCACTTAGTTGTCTGACATCAATTTCTTAGATTTATCCCTCTCATCCAACATTACAGCAGATTAAGTTAATTTTATACCATATATACCAAAACAATTTGAACAGTAGAGTTCCTCTGGGTAACATCACACGTTGGAATAGATGGTAACGAAAAGGCAGATAGTCTAGCTAGGTCCGCAGTAACCAATACAGCCGCATCAGTGGAAAATCTAATGGTGATTTAGATTTAAAACCTTACTTAAAATCAAAATTGCACGATGTTTGGCAAAACCAATGGAATAGAAGCACCACTAAATTGATAGAAATAAAATCTTCCGTCCTTCATGGAACTTCTGGCCTTCAAAGCGACAACATCAAGTCCTCGTCTCAGATTAGGACACACTCAATGACACGTCTCAGATTAGGACACACTTCTACAACACATGAAGAGAGAAGAGGAACCAGTGTGTTTTGTTTGTGAATGTAAAGTGACAGTGAAGCACATTTTGATTGACTGTCCAATATACTCAGTTGAAAGACTATATCACCACATTCCTAAAACATTAAAAGAACTTCTAGGAGAATCTAAATACGTAGCTGACTTGATAGAATTCTTGAAATCTATAAACTTTTTTAATAAAATTTAATACAATTCATCGATAATTAAAATATATTATATTGTATTCATTATAATGTAATTGATATTTTGTATATACCTATCTACCTATGTCTTTATCACTTTTTGTATTTTTCTTATGCTTCTAACTGCTGAAGCAAAATAAATAAAAAAAATTAATTATATTATAAATAGATGCGTTGTAATAAACAGAAACTACATTTATTAATTAAGCTTGACATTTTCATCGTAACATAAATTAACAAGTATGTCAATAATATAATAACATAATAAATAAACTATATCTAGACTCACATACTCTTACATAGTTCTATCACTGGTGAGCATCAATGGCTTGGTTGGTTGCAAAACTAACCTTCGTATACACTTTGTACCTACATCTTTCATACAACTGGCTTATATTCAGCATGAATACTTCTCAAAATAATAAATCCTATCAATAAAAATCCAGACCCGCTGAGATCCCCGATTGCTGTCAAATAGGGTATAGCGGAGTTGTCTGGATCCCGTTTGAACCTCCACATCGTATGAACTAGAAGATGGCATCCGTAGAGAAGGATTATTAGTTGTATGAGGCCAACTGTCAGGTACATGAAGACAAATATAGGAGTAACTGTTGATTCTTTATTGTAAAAAAAGTCGGCGGCGAAAACAAATATTGTGTGGCCAGGAATGGATAAGAGGATGAGCAGGCGAGCTGTTTTTGCTGGATGAACTAAAAATAAAAAGTAACTTATAGAGACATAAGTAATTAAATTTAAAATCGATAATGCTTTTTTAATAGTAGATTATAGTAACAATTAGGACATAAAATTTTATAGCTATAACTATACAGCTTTACAGTTCTATTCTATTCGCGCCCGAGAAGCTCTATTCACTATAAAAGTGCTTAATCAGAGGTGCAGGGATATCAACTGTGATGTATATATTTGTTTTATGGACTACAAAAAGGCATTTGATATAGTAAAACATGACAAGCTCATATCCATCTTGAAAGACGCGGGCTTGGATGATAGAGACTTGCGAATTATATATAATTTATATTACAATCAAACTGCCAACATTAAAGTGGATGACCAGTTGACAGAGACAATCTCCATAAACATAGGAGTGAAACAAGGATGCATTCTGTCTCCAGTGCTATTTAACATGTATTCAAAGCGCTTCATCAAAGCAGGAAGGCGTCTTAGTTAACAGAGTGCGTTTAAACAACACTAGATATGCTGACGACGCTGAAGTTTTTGTAGATAGTCTAGATAGTTTACAAGAAATAATGTCACGCATATCAGATATAAGTCGACAATATGGGCTTCATCTTAATACAAACAAAACAAAGTCCATAGTAGTTATTTTGCGCAAAATATTAAATACACATCTTTTGATAAACCAACAGCCAATTGACAGGGTAAACAGCTACACATATCTTGGTATTAACATAAACAGTCAATGGGACCACTATACTGAAATAAAATAACGCATAGGGAAAGCAAGTTCAGCGTTCGTAAAGATGAAGTCTCTTTTACCACTAAGTACCAAAATCTCTATCATCAGATGCCATGTATTTTCTACATTAATATACGAAGTAGAGGCATGGACGCTCTCTGAAGCTTCTTTAGGAGAGAACGAGATGTGCTGTTACAGACGCACCTTCGCATGGGTGAATCGTGTGACTAATATTGAGGTCCTACGTAAAATAAGCAAGGAATGCGAGATCACTAATAAAATCAAAGAGCGCAAATTAGAATATCTTGGCCATGTTATGAGAAATAAACACAGATATGGCTTATTGCAACTTATTCTTCAGGGCAAAGTATTTGGAAAGAGAGGACCAGGGAGAAGCAGAATATCTTGGCTTTAAAGCCTAAGGAAGTGGTTTAATATGTCTACAACCGGACTATTTCGAATAGCTTCAAGTAAAGTTGGGATAGCTATGCTGATCGCCAACATCCGGAACGGGTAGGTACCGTAAGAAGAAAAAGTGTACTTGATCTATCACTTCTGTCTGCATGTCTTGCTTAACAGTGTAATTTCTAGACGTTTTGTCTAGAATACAGACACCATCAATTTTTAATTTACATCACGTTGGTTCTTTACACTTTAATAACTTTATCTTTGGCTATAGATACTCTTTTTTTATGGTTGTGTAAATAAATATATTTAAATTTTGAACAGCGAAATAAAATTTGATATAATTTGTAAAGTATGATGTGGTCAGTCTCTTACCTCCTTTGATTAAAGCCGTCCACGGCCAAACCAACTGTTTTGTTATTGATGGCATTTGACCAAAAATTGCTGTTTTGTGTAGCATCGTCGATGTCCGACTAACTTGGACTGATACCAAATTACCCCCTATACCATTTATAATGGGTTGAAAGACGGTATATCCTTTAAATGAATCCACACCTACATCTAAGATTAAACCACCAGTACTGCAAAAAACATAAAATTATAACTAAAAACATGAAAATAAATATTAATCATTTCTTTTACTAAAAATATAACATAAGCGGACGACCCATAACCGATGAAATCCATATCTAAACTAAAATATAAACAACTTTTTTAATTACTTTAAATAAATCGTGGGCCATTTATATAGATTTATCTCAGAAATAGTAATGATTAGAGAATATAAAGATATTCCTTTCTTCTTTGCGCATATGGATTGGAAAACCTATCCAAGAGCGGCATTCTGAAAAAGTCAGCTAAAATTACGTTGGCAATATAGCACCCATTGGTTAACATTGGCAAAAATGTTTCCCAAAACAAAGGTTTTCTACTTGCATTTTAATCAAGTAATTCCAACTAAAACCTTGACATTCGTGATTCTATTCACCAACTTATTCCAAATTACAAAAGTATCTCAAAAGTCTTATACTTAGGGTCCCTTGTACACAATACTTTTTTCAGTATGTTGAAAGCATTTGTTGCCTATTCTTGCTTTAATTTCTTCTGTGTACTAATTATTTTTAATATGTATTGTTTTCAGATATTCAGATTTTTGAACTTGTTTAATTTGTTCTGCATGTATTGTTAGGCTTTATTGTCGCCGTGGGGCTATTTTTATCACTATAAATTATGAGATAATCAATTTTTATTATTTCACTTCAAAATTAGGGGCAATTTAGTTTCTTCGTTGACTTCTACCACCATGTCAACCATTTGTTGTAAATCCTCTAGACATTTCGCTATTAAAATTGTGTGTTCTGCGAACCATATATAGTTGGTTAAACATCTGGGAACCATTGGGAACCATTTAATTTAAATCTCTTAAATTGTTCTTCCACTGTATCCAGGTTCTTTTCTTTGTTTACATTGTAAGTATACATTGAAGAGAGTAAGAGACAGGACACAGCTCTACTTATACTCCTCTTAATCTGCATTTCTTCTAAAATACGTTGGCTCCTCTACCGCACCTCTAAACCAGCAAGTATAATAAAGAGCACTAATGACTCTGATGTCTCCCATATCTAAATGGCTTTGCTGTTATCCAAAAAACACACTTATGGTAGATGATTAATATCCACGTACCTTTGCACAAGTACATTTACAGCAAACAGTCCTTCCCTCGTTTCCAATGAATTTCTAATTTTAAGTTTATTGTATATTCTGTGGATAATTTCTAAAAATATTTGGGCGCATGAAACCCATTCAATTTGTATTCGGTGATCTTCAAATTCTTTTGCGTTTAGTTTTTTTGTCAGTGTTGTGAATGAAGACATCAGCCAGTCTCTGATAATATAATGATTCCTTATAATGATTATATAATTTCCTTTCTTTTATTGTATTTTCAATATGTTATGTTATGTTATGTTATGTTCAAATACCTAGGAAACTGGATTTCAGACAATAATGGTCAAACAACCGAAATAAGAGCTAGGATAGAAATAGCAAGAAATGCATTTGTAAAAATGAAACAATTCTCTGCAACAGAGATCTTTGATTAGAACTGAGAGTAAGAGCACTGAGATGCTACGTGTTTTCGGTACTGCAATATGGACTTGAAAGCTGGACATTGAAGGAGTACCCCTAAAATAAGTTACAGTCCTTTGAAATGTGGTGTTACAGGATGATGCTTAGAATAGCATGGACAGAGAAAAAAAAATAACAAGGAAGTATTGCGAGAAATGGGCAAAGAATGCGAAATAATAAGCACAATAAAAATAAGAAAGTTACAATATCTGGGACAAGTAATGAGGGGACAGTGATATGAACTGCTAGGGCTGATAGTACAGGGAAAGACAAGAAGAGGAAGATGTATAGAAAGAAGAAGAGTATCATGTTTAAAGAATTTAAGGGACTGGTTTAAATGCAGTTCTATAGAAGTCTTCAGAGCAGCAGTAGATAAAGTAAAGATAGTGATGATGATATCCAACCTCCCATTTGGGAGACGGCACTTAAAGAAGAAGATGCTCAGTAGAAATAATTTCTATTTTAGTGAGCTCCTTTTTAATTTTCTATATTATATGCTGTTCTGCTGTTGGGTCTCTCACAGTCTCTCAAGTTCCAGGATATGTTTGAACTAATTTTATGGAATTTCGGAGTATTTTGCAGATTAGACTCAATTTGATTTCTGATAACGTTATGTTGGTTTGCTGCTGAAGATTTTCATGTTGTTCTTCTGCTTCGGATTCATAATAAGTATTCTCAAAAATAATATCGTTCTCTCAAAAAGTCAAGGGAGAATTAAAAAAAATTTTCACTGCTCTTCACATGTGCAGAAAGAACATTTTAAAAGATAGAACCGAAAGGAAAGCAAATACATACCCACTTATTAATAGTGCAGTAATAACCGGAGTCCATCCTTGAGTTAAGATAGTTCTGGTATATTCATTGCGCTTAACAATGTATATCCAGAGCGGAAGGAGTATTAAAACATATCCTCCTAATATTAAACCCATAAGCCATGGATACTTTTCTAAAAATAATACAAGTCTTATTAATACAACTCTATACAACTCTACAACTAATACAACATTAATACAACAAAAGGGAATAAGCCACAATTGAAGTTTAGAAAAAGTTTATTGACGTGTCAACTTCCACTTCGGAAATCGTCCTCTAAATACAAACAATAAACAAATTACACAAATTTTGTTTTTTGTTACTTGGTGAAAAATTGTTCTAATAATTTAATTTTATCTGACTTATTTATATTGACAATTCAGACATATACTATATATTTTAAAGTAGACGACTTTAAAATGATATTACCAATATTGCTGAGTTGCGTTGCTGGGACGACTTCATTTTAAGATAGTTGGAACTTAGAAATATTGGCAATATAATTTTAAAGTCGTCTACTTTAAAATGTTTATTATATATCTGAATTGTCAATATAAATGAGTCAGATGAAATAAAATTATTAGAATAATTTTGCACCAACTAACACAAAAACAAAATTTGTTTCTCGTACGGAGGGAACTTTAGCGGTTTTTACAGATGTGTCTCGCAGTACTAATACGTCGATCGAAGAGACAGTTTGAATTTGTTGTGTATACAATTTAAAAATCAAGAGGATTCGCCGGTATTTTTCGCGTGGTAACTAGTAGTTATTACTAAGAGAGAAAAACCCGTTTGTGATTTTCGAAAATAATGTCAGAAAGTTAACTGTAAAAAAACGTACGTTCGCGTTGGACCTAGATAGGGGAGAGAGAGAGTCAGGAAAGGACATTTCTATTCGGTACGGACGTTCAGTCGAGAACAGAGACTCTATTGCTAGCGGCAGTCAACAGTCGATAAAGACTCTTTTCTGTTTCTATTTTAAAACTGTTGTTATGTCCAAAAGGTTAAAGTGGGAGTAGCAATGATTACTAAGGGTTGGAGTAGGGTAATGATTTTAAATTTCAGGCGGAGAATGTTAGGAATTAATAGATACAGCTAAAAAATACTTCTCCCCTATTTTTATCCCCTAAAGCCTGGGGTAAAAGTAATAAACTTTCTTGCATCTTCTCTGGCGTCCTAAACTTGACTTTTTTCAGAATTTGGCTTGTTCGTGATGATTTTTAGAAGTTCGGTGGCATTTTCGTCTCTGACGAGTAGATTAGTAATAAATAGTTTAGGTTTAATTTAACTCATTGATGCCTAACTTTACCAAAATAACTACAGTTTTAATTTGGGCTTTAATATGTTAATTATGGACAATTCTGTTCGATTGAAGTATTTGAATAAAGTTTTAATATTTTGAACTACTTCTCTGCGTGTTTAGTTCAAGAGATAACATCTCATATAATTTTAGACGGAAAAGCACAAGAGATCGGAAAAACAAAGCAAAAAATATTTACGATAAAAAATTATTATTAATAATACTATAAAAGTCTTCTTGCTAAAAGTATTTTTAAATTAAAAGTAAAGAGCAAATACATTTATTTAATTCAATTGTTGAGTAATGTAGTTAGTGTATCTATGTATATGTTCGTTTTCTCCTTTTGATCTTCATATCGCACACTCAGTGCAAAACTGCAGTAAGTCAGAATAAGTAAGTTTCGAGATAAAGACGATTTTGTTTATTTTCATGCTATTATCGGTGAAATAAGACACAAGTTTTAAGAAAAATTAACATTTAATTATGATTTTTCATGTATTTCGCCTATATTACATTAACCAAATATAGAAATTTAAACAAAATAATATTAATGCTAAAAAAAAATTAGGAATTTCAGAGTTACAACACTTTTGCATGGAGAAAATTGTTAATCACTACACATTTAGTATTAGAATTTTGAAGTTACAACACTTTTGCACGGAGAAAATTGTAAAAAGTGTAGACACATTTTTTATTAGCAAAACTGTCAATATTTTTTATTTAAATTCAAAACAAAAGAAATATAATAAAAATATGCAAATCAGCTACCTTGAGTACAGTGATTAACAAAAGGATTGAAATTTACTACCGTAGTAAAAGTTGGGAATTACGGGGGGACAATGTGATAAGAACAATCGCCCCGGCAGGTTACAATTTAATACAATTTGGGATATAGTTTTTATAGAATGAGTTTTCTGAGAATAAATATTTTTAAAACTCAGTCAGTATTGTTAATACAATTTAAGATAACTGTTTTTCCTTTCATAAGAAAAAAATACTTTTTGCATGTAAATATTAGTCTTAATTTATGTGTTTTTAATCCAATCTAATAAATAAATCGCACACATTTTATGGAAAATACAATGTCACGGCCGTTAATGGATTACTTAGACAGGCTGTATATTAAAATTAAACACCACATATACAAATATTAAAATAACAAATATCTTGCTTTTTTCGTGGCTTTCATTGTTTGTTATCGAAACCATTGCAATGTTCCGTGCAAAACTATTGTAACTCTGTTACATTAGAATTACAACAGTTTTGCACGGAACTTATGTACAAAAACGTAAACTAGTTAAACTGTTGTTGTTGTTATATTTAGCCGGTTAAGCATTTGAAAGTTACTAAAGTTTTACAGGGGATAAATATGCATGTTTACAATCGAATTCTATGATTACTTCATTTCATAAAATTTTGAGTTAATGCAGTCTTGCACTGAGGGTGCGATATTTCTGCTGTACTTAGATATTAAGACTTTTTACCTTTACAAACAAATAATTAATTGTATTAAAATAATATTTACCATGTATAGTATATAATAAGCGAGCCCACGAAGACAATACAATAAGAGAAACCAAGTCTCCGACACTTGCTGCTAAAGGTGTTGCTAAGTTGTCAGGATTTAGTTTTATTTTGTGAGATATAACGATCACAGTTACGAGTAAAATATCTGCAATAAAAAATGATAAATTAGGTTAATGATGATACATGAGAAAACACACTAAGACTTAAGGTAACAATAACTACTGACTTAAAAATAATAAGTATAACTTGGTTTTCCTCAAATGTTTATACCTTGTAGACCAGGCGAATTTTTTTATGAAAGGTCGAAGATATAACTCAAATATAATTAAAAGACAATTTAAAAATAGATAATTTTGCCGAAAGGCCTAAAACCTTTTGAATAAAAAGGAAATCATATTCTAAACGTACAATATCCCGAATGTTGTCCGTTTCACCTATTTTGACACATTTGATATTGAAAACTACGGAAATCAGATAAACCTGTCAATCTAATTACTAATTTAATTCTAAATTAAAATAAATCACTCATTATTGAATTAGAAATACATACAAAAATATAATAAATATTTATACGCCAAAAAGGCAAAGCAGGACTGTTTGGGAAAGTATATGCGAATTCATTTCATATTTTTACAGTTAATATTTTTTCTGTTACGGTACTGCAATGTGATCTAATTTAGTGCTGTATTTTAAAGACCTTTTTGAAATATATTGTTTCCTGTTGTCTTTCGTAAAACTTAAACTGGCTATGTCATTTGTCATGTTGAAGTACGCAGAATTTGGCTTTTTCCTTTGTATTCAAGATAAAGATTTAAATACAAAGATCGAAACAAGTGGTTGATTTATGGCATGCCCGGCCTACGAGATGTTGACCATCCAACCAGAGGGTGGTTTGTGCCCGAGACGCTGTCAAACCCTCAAGATTGGCAGTTATTCGTAACACAGTGAACGAAACGCACCACACTTGACCGGTCTCGTGTTAATTAGACTCGGCGTCCCAGGCCGCGGCGTCGTTATGCCCGGCGACCAACTCTTCACCTGTTACGAGTACTTCAATACAACCAAAGGGTAAGTCCATAGTTCTCTGTACAAAACATTGTAATATAATGTAACATAATGAGTAAACCAGTTGATTTCATAACATATTCATAATTTATAGTTGCTATTTTCGCTAATTTTATGTACAAACAAATATTGCATTTTTCGATATAATTATTTATCTGATATAATTTAACCAGCGACCTCTCAATTTTAGTCCTAAACACAAGTCAACATGAAGAAAACAGAATATTTATTTATCAATTCAGATGCAAGGTTAGAAGTGTTGATAGACGAGGACGTGGAAATCAAACAAGTAGATAAATTTAAATATTAAGTGCACTCAATAATAAGAACGGCTTGGTTCTTTAGTCCTAAACAAGGACAGGAATGAAATAGTCCTGACTGACTAGTTGACAAAAACACTAGTAGTGAAACATGTATTGTACACATATTTTCAAAAATTATACATTACCCCTCGTAATTAAGATAAATCCGTATCCTTATCATAAAATATATTGGTAGGCCTTTTTTTTTTATATAAAATAACCTTTTTTTTGGTTTTTTATTTTATTTAAATACCAATCTAATTGGTCTGGTTTTGCCAAGGTGTAAACATTTGAAAAATTTATTCGGATAAAATTTGTGTAAATGTGATTTATAACCAATACTAATTTAATTTTTAAGTTGGACAGTGGAAGAATTATCGCTTAAGTTGAAGAATGCTATTCACAGCGGTTCGTGACAGAAATAGTGGGCGTTTCTCAGAGTGATGTCTTCCGGATATGGAATAGGTTTCTGGAGACAAATTTGATATAGAATAGTGCACGCTCTGGTAGACTCCGAGTTACCAGTTAACAACATAATAGATATATCTGAATTTCTATTCGGAAAAATTCTTCTATGTTTGTACCAGCCCTCCAAATAGACTTTGGGATGCAACAAAAATCAGAGTATCGTTGGCTACAATAAGAGAAAGAATTTTAGAGTCAGGCTTGAGAAGTCGTCGACTAATAAGACTTCCTCAGCTATAACCTAGACATGTGACACCACCTCCAGTAGGCGCAAGAATACATACAGCTCCTTCAATAGTTCTGAAATTTTGAGCTTTTTTTAGAAGAAAGCAGAGTCTGTTAGTGGTATCCGGCAAATTCGTGTTTGGCGAAAGTCAACAAGAGCTGCACAATTAACACATGACCGTCCCATAATTCTTTTCGCTAGTGGCAGTGTTATGTTTTGGGCAGGTATTATGGGAGGTTGACGCACAGAATTGGTGGTTATTGACGAAACTCTAACAGGACAAAAGTACATTACAACGATTTTACAACCTCATTTGGTAAAATGGCGAGGAGCGGTGGGTAAAAAATTTGTCTTTATGGACGGTAACGTTCGTCCACATAATACCCAAATGGTTAATGATTATCGACAAAAGTATTTACTGCTTAGAGTGGCCTGCGATGAAACCCATTGAACATGTATATGCTCTCCAAAGCTGTTCAAGTCCGAAAAATCTTCCTAAAAACCCATTATGAAGTTACAATTGCCTGTAGAATGGAAGAATCTGCCATAGCAAATGATTGATAGACTTGATAGCAGTACTAAATCTCAAATTCCGGCTTGCATCGATGCTGTTGGTGGAAATACAAGATATTAAATTTGTTAAATACATTTTTAATAGAAATAAAATTTGTAGGTTTCAAGGTATTAGCCCTTTAGAGTAGCAAGCGATGTCTCCACACATGAACTTCATTGAACATACATGAGGTATTGTCTCCAAGAGCTGTTCATAGCCGAACAAATCTGTCTAAAACCCATTATGAACTTACAATTGCCTGTAGAGAAGAATGGAAGAATCTGCCATAGGAAATGATTGATCGACTTATTTGACAGTACTAAAGCTCAAATTCAGGCTTGCATCGATACCCTTGGTGGAAATACAGAATATTAAAATTGTTAAACATATTTTAATTAGAAATAAAATTTTTAAGTTTCGCCGTAAGTTTCAAGGTATTCGCCCGTTAGAGTGGCAAGCGATGTCGCCACACATAAACCTCATTGAACATGCATGAGATGTCCTCTCCAGAGTTTTTATACCCAAAAAATCTTTCTAGAACCCATCATGAATTTACAATGCAGAGAAGTACATGTAGAGAAGAATGAGAGAATCTGCCATAAGAAATAATTGATCAACTCATTTGACAGTACTAAAGCTCGAATTCGAATTCAACAAAAATGGAAATGGGCTGGACGTAACGAACGTCTTACGGATGGCCGATGGAATAAAGAAATCGGGAATTGGCGGCCATATGAAGCCGAAAGACCATGAGGAAGGCCGCAAATGAGCTGGAGCGACGATATCAAAAGAACTGCAGGGCCAATGTAGAAACGACTTACAAATAACAGAGATGAATGGCGAGAATTAAAAGAGGCCTATATTCGGCAATCCGAATATAGGCCTCGACCCTAAAAAAGCTCGATTTCAGGCTCACATCGATGTCCGTTGTGGAATTACAAGATATTAAAATTGTTAAATACGTTTTAATTGAAAATAAAAATTTTAGTTTTTAGTTTTTTTTATTAAAAAACAGTGTCTCTTTTAAAACAATATATATATATATATATATATATATATATATATAATATATATATATATATATATATATATATATATATATATATATATTAACGTTATGATATTTTCTAATAAATGATATATAACAGTAGTTTCCGAAAATAGTTAAAATAATAGCGTACATTTTTTGTGATGCATAACTTTTGAAATTATAAACTAAAGGCGGGTTGACACGATCCAAGAATGCTTGGATTTCAATTTGGACTAAGTGGACTTGTACAAGTGTACTTGTACCAAATTGGTTGCCACTGTTAAATGGCTTGGATAGCTAATAACCATTGTAAAAATGGCGGAAGTGATTGTGGAAGTTTTCTAGTGGTTGCTGATAGTTGATACATGAGCTTGAAATGTCAATTTTTGACACCGTCTCCACTTTAATTATACAATAACACACTACTTGGATACAAGACAGTTGGCCAGCGTCCTAGTTAACTTGGATGGAACCTGTTAATACAAGTGTACTTGAAAGAACGGGTGACATGATCAAAGTAGCGCACAAAGTGTTGAGCGCGCAACGTCCAAGCAGACTTTAACCAAATACACTTGAATCCTGTCAACCCCGCCCTTACGCTTACTGATAAACCGTTTGATCGACAATATTAGACAATATACCATATCGCTATTTAACTGCAATTGCGAAACTAAAATCCTTTAAAAATGAGCCGTACTAGCCGGCTACTAGGGATATGAATTAAGTAGAGACGTCTGTATTGTAAAGTAATAGAAAGTGGGAGTTATATGAAAAGGTAAGGAAAACGCTGTCACCAAATGTAATACTTTATAGATCCTCAAAGGATGCTAACCCTGCGAGCGGCTGCAAGGAATACTGGTCACACTAGTATGGAGGGCTGGCTCGTCTTCGTGGATTTACGAGAAGATAAGGGATTTTCGGGATAGGGGTAAGGACTCCTAGGTCTCAGGTCCTGTAAAGAGCAGAGGTTATGCATAAGCAGAATCTCGTATTCTCATAGTCTCTAATGAGTCGGACGAAAGGAACATTAAAAAAACCAATTTAGAGTCTACAATATATTGAATTTACCTTGAAGTTACAAATACAATCGTTAACACGACATTCTGCGCGTCGGTAGACGAGGAGCAAGATAGTGAAGAGTTGACAGTTGTACTAATATAATTACTCAGGTTAGTATATAGAAATCTGTTACCTTATGTGTATTTAGGCTTTCAACCACGATTCGTTTCGGTCCTCTGGAACTCGGTCAGTTGAGGGTCTCCTCCTGTGTTACGGACTTACGAGCTGCCACAATAACCGGACTACACGAGATACTATGCCGGGATGATAAGCGCTCCCCGGAGTAATTACCGACTGCGTCGTACCCGACGCTACCGCGTCGAGAGTACCCGGAGCAGGCAATTGTTGCCTTCACGGCTCCCGCCGTATCACTCCTACTGACTCGCTATTAGTGACTACTGACTTGGCTGACCAAGTTTTCTAGTTTTTATCGACTGGTGTCCTCATTGACCGGTTGTAGTCCAAGGTTGCGTTTTCGCTGAATTGTAGGTCCTATATTGCATTACAATAAAAGTTTCTGTTTGACGTGCTTTTTCTACGTTTAAACAATTATCAAACAATGCAATAACTAGGTCAATTGTTATACTTTGTATAATTTAAATGTATAAGTTGACTGTATTAATTATCTCTTATTTAATTCGGAATATATAATTATTTTGAATAATTATTATCTTTCTATGCTACTTAGCCCTTATTTTTTTCTATTCTTGACTCTCTTGCTACGCTCACATTACAGTATTAAATATTCTTTATTTACCGATGAATCTAGATGCCGTTACCTAGGTGCCGAATTAAAAAAAAAAACGTCCGCGTTTGAAATTCTAACTTGCGTGTATCTGACAAAGACGTAACTCTTAATTTACCTCGAAGATAATTTCACTCATTAGATAAAATTCGTGAAATAGACGACATTCAAAAATATTTTATATATATATTACATATTTTGTCTTACCTAAAATAAAACAAGACATCGTTGCCGTTAAGGTACTTGCTGTAGCTAACAGCAGAGTATGTAACCATTGGAAGTTTCCGTTTATTAGTGCAGATGCTGAAGTAGCGAACACAGATACTATACACGAAGCTACTATAGCTTGAATCTGAAAGACATATAAATTTAGGATATAAAAAAAGTTTAATAGATACATTTGTAAACGCGAATAAATATGTGAAAAACCATACAAAAATTATTATCACTGCTTAATACCAAACATGCCAGTTTTAATTACAAAGAAAATTATAAAAAATCCAATAGAAAAAAGTATCTTTAACAATTATTGAGTGTCTTTTATTTTTTACAAGAAGGTTTTATATTCCAATAGCCACTCTCAATTTTTTATCTGTATTTCACAACAAACAATCTGGCTTGACTAAGGTAGAATGTTGAATATGGCAATAATATATTGCTCCCGTTATCAGTAGAGAAAACGCATCATACACTACCGCTCAAAATTCAGAGAAATTCATTACCTAACTCTGTCTTGATTTCGCCGCGAAATAAGTTAAAACAAAGTCAAAGAGATTAACTGTTAAACATGGCTAATATAACTAAATGGCTTCATATTGTCACAAAACTTACTTTCGCATACTATTCATCTCTCTTGTATGTTTTGACACATTTATGCATTTTTCAAACATTTCTAGTTTTTTTTTTATTTTACAATTCTACTCCATAGCTCTTAAAGAATCTCAAAGAATCTAATTTATCGAATATGTCGATCAAGTAATTTAATAATATCACAAATAAAGCATTATGCACCTTTTCGGTTTCCGGGCGGTTTTCCTCCTCTTATAAAAATGGCAATTTCCTCTTTTAACTCATTAGTAAATAAATATATAAACAACAAACTATTCCAAAAAATAATAAAAGAAAATAAAACACCACAAGAATGTAGATCAGGCATCCTAATACCTCTATTTAAAAAGGGGTAGAAATCGGACCCGGAGTATAACTAATATAAAATAACACTAAAAATAACAGTTAAAGCAATTTGATAACAAATAAACTGAACGCAATTATAACACGCAGAACAACAAGTGCAAGAGAAATCATTAAAATGCAACAAACCGGCATATTTTTGTTTCTTTCTTGGACCTTAAGAAAGCAAAGTATGGGTCGCTTTGGGCAAACAATGTGACATCACTGGCGCCCATGTCGGTAAGCGTTGAATCTGAATTACCAGCCGAGCATGTCCCTTAGTCAAGACCAGAACCGTTTGTCAAGTGATAATTATGAACTGTTAAGTATCAATTATATCTAGGACACATAATGCGCCATAAGCAATTTGAGCAGCTCCAGGTAATATTAGAAGGCAAAATCGAGGGTAAAAAGGGTATAGGAAGAAAGAAGAAATCCTGGCTTCGAAACATCAGAAATTGGACTCACACAACAAGAAATGACTTAATCCATCAAGCCCAGAACAGAGAGAAATTTGCCATATTGATCGCCAACCTCAATAGAGAAGGCACTTAGGGGGAGGAAGTATCAATTGTCAATTCGTCTTCTTTTCAATTCGTCTCTTTGTAAAATCTTTTGTTTTTCCCAGCTATCAAATCTTATGTTTTTCTGCAGCTGTCAATTCTTCTTTTTGTCATCTTTCCGGTAATCGTCTAATTATCAATTCTTTTTCATTTTTGCCTTCTTTTCTGTCTGTCTGTCGAGTCACTTCTTAACTATTAGATCGTCTTAACAACACAATCAAAATCATTAAAAATATCCACCAGAACAACACTGTTGTTACAGTTTATTTACAAAATAAAAGTAAAGATAAAAGAAAAACTAACTGATTTAATTAAAGCAGGCAATCAAATAAAACAGAGGGATTCTCTAAGTCTCTATTGTTAAACTCGATTATGAAAGAAATAGTAAAAAATATAAACTAGAAAAGGATATCAAATTGGAGAAAAACATCGTACAATAATCTGCTACGCAGACAACGCATTACTAGGCAGAATTTACAAACCAGTCATCAGAACAATAATGAGATACTCATTAAAAATAAAAATAACGTGACACACAGAGTATACAAATAATGCTAGAAACAACCGAGATGAAAAATCCTACAAAAAATCGATGGCAAGACACTAAAGGATAAAGCTGGAGGTATACATAGATACATAACGGTTATGTAAGGTGGAGAATATCAAGAACTGGGTAAAAAATGGAAGAGTAGAATAGAACAATATTCTATGCCAGATGACAACAAATATAACAGTAGAGACGTTATCCAGTAGGAAGGGGATCATTGAGAAGACCACGGAAAGATGGAACGACAACTGACTGGAGGCACATTGAAAATCAGGCAGAGTCGTGTCATTACAAAAGATAAAAGAGAAAGATGAATTCATCAGTACGTTGCAAAAATTTATCACTCGATAACCATCTGGCTTCACAACAAAATAGCAGTGTCGAATGTTCTGCATCAATATCTTTACATAGTAAATTAATGATTATTGATTTTACCGATACCATTTTTATATAATTTACTACCTATATAACCCTCCTTAGATATACAACGACTCATTTGTTTAGAATTCAGATTTTTTCTGTGGATCATTCATTTCTCCAGACACATTGTGGTGACTTTTGTTTAACAAGTGCTTGTACACTTCCAAACATTGAATCTTCCAAACATTGCTGCCAGCAACATCGCTGCATATTCTTACGCAATTCTTCCATCATTGTTTGTCTCATCATTAACATCGTTTAGAATCGTTTAATCTTATTAGACAGCAACCCGTTGAAAATAAATAAATAAATAAATATCAAACAAACTCAGTGCTGCTGCTTTTTGAGTTCTGTAGGTTTGCAGAAAATGAACTCTTCTGCTGCCGATATACCATTATAAATTAGGACATAGTCAACTAAATGAGCGTCTTAATTGCTCCCTGTTGCCTTGTTAAGCTGAATTGAAAACAATTGGTCAGACAACGTTTCAAGAAGCTGATACATTTCTGGATATATCACCAATTCGGCGGGTAATAGTAACATTTGAAAGAGGTATGGATTGAAATTATTTGGTAAAATTGTACTGGTAATAGCTGACATAATCTTTTCCCCAATGGTGTGAGACTTTTTATATCTGCCTATTTTACATGATTCTTTATAAGAGGTAAATAAAGCTTTTTGGTTCACAGAAAAAGTTGTTTAAACAATGATACTAGTGGTAAATCCAAACTTTAGGTATTCTTGCGAATATTTTCTTGATTTTATCTTTGAAACCATGGTCGACTGTGTGCTTGTTGATGTTTCACTATTGTCTAATACTCGCTTACGATCAGTTTAAAATCTATCTATATAGATTTGTCTGTATGAATTTTCTGGCGTAAAATTCACCTATCTTATAAGGAAAAGTATTATATGCATTGTTTTTTAGCTCCTAGGTCTTCAGGGCCTATTGAGTTCTGTAAATAAATCAGGAAATGTGACACAGTTAAACACAACTTCTCTGCTGCTGCTTCACACACGCGTGCTTTGCTGACGAGCAGATCTTTTATAATATTCCAAAGAAATCTAAACCTCGATCGAAATTTCTCGCAGGGATGGTAAATCAAAAGGATGTTCCATATCTATCGCAAGTGACAGAGCAGATGAGAAATATTCTTTCTACAATGTACTACATTGTACGTGTCAGGGAGACACATCTATATCGGATGTAGCGCAGCAGCATTGACAAATTTCAATAAATTCACATATTCTCAGTAATTCTAAAGGTCTATAATTAAGTTCTGTAGAAGGGCTCTAAGTCTAGAATCTGAGCCACTTAAAAAACAGGATTAGTAGTGTCAAAATTTTTATTTTCAATTCGTGCAATGTACGTCATATTTTTTATATAAAAAAGAAAGATGGGGGTCCGCCGTAAAAATCGTAATTAAAAGTTGGTCTCAGAATTAAAGGTTAAAAAAGGCTGATTTAATGACTAAATTAGTCTCATTAAAAAATTAAACTGTGTCACCAAACGAAACCAATCACTAAATAACTAAAATTATTTTGTGAGATCTAGAAACAGATAGTGACACGACATAATTTACACAACAGTAACAGTTATTATATTAAATTGTATATTTATTATATCCCAGATATTAAAATTTAAAAAAATCTTAAAATAAAAAAAAATGATTACCTGAACTAAAACGATATTGCCGACCACCATTTTAAGTAATTCTCTTCGGTCTTCCATATGTCCTAAGTTTGCTTGGGTAGAAAGTCTTGATGATAAGCACATATCTAAATTTCCTTTTAGTCCTAATAACGCTGGTACTAATACATACAAGGCTCTGATATCGTCAAATACTTTATATGTCTAAAAAAATAACTATGTAACTCCACAATTTTCACCATCTATAATATAAATAAATTAGATAATATATAAGTATTATATTATATTATATATACAAAAAAGTAAAGCTGTAAAGCAGTAGGTTCAGACCAAATCCCTATAGAAATCTTTGACATTATAGTAGACTTTCTAAATCAGTTGTGACACACTGAGTTAAATAAGTCTACTATAATGTCAAAGGAGAAAACACTGTTACTACAAAACAGGACACATACCGAAACAACCCTCTGGTTACTCTCCACCTTTTGTGCTATCTCTAAAAATATAAACGCTAAATATTGCAGTAAATACAGAACAATATCACTAATAAGTCACATTCTCAAATTATTCCTGAAAATAATACATGGCCGTAAAAATAAAAAAACTGGAAGAAGGAATAGATGAGAGTCAGTTTGGCTTCAGAAATGGACTAGGAACCAGAGAAGCGTTATTTGCTTTTAATGTGTTAGCTCAAAGATACATGGATAGGAATATTGATGTGCATGTTTGTTTCGTTGATTTTAAAAAAGCATTTGACAAAGTAAAACATGAAAAATTAGTCCAAATTCTAAAGACAAAAAAAAATAGACCATAGGGACTTACGAATAATAACAAACTTCTACTAAAATCAAAGAGCTTCTTCTTCTTCAGATGCAAATCCACTAATGGATGTTAGCGATCCATTTTCCATTAGGAGCAATTCCAATCAAAGAGCACAAATCGTAATAGATAACGAACCCAGTCCAGAAATTAAAATCAGGAGAGAAGTTAGGCAGGGATGTGTTATGTCCCCATTACTATTTAATATATATATATATATATATATATATATATATATATATATATATATATATATATAATATATATATATAATGAAGCTATTTTTGAAGAAGCATTACTATCTCAAAGTAAAGGAATCGTAATTAACGCAAGATCTATTAACCACATAAGATATGCAGATGACACCGTGATTATGGCCTCTGCTGAACAACTCCAATTACTGCTAAACAAAACAAACAGTTTCTGTGAAAAATATCGACTAAAAATGAATATGAAAAAAACCAAATATATCTTAATAATAAAGAAAACAAATATACCAACAAACATACATTTGGAAAATGTACTGATAGGAAGGATTGATAAATACAAATACGTAGGAACCTGGATTACGGACAATATTGATGAAAAAACCGAAATAAGAGACAGGATAGAAATAGCAAGAAATGCGTTTCTAAAAATGAAAACAATTCTCTGCACCAAATACCTTAGATTAGAACTGAGAGTAAGAGAACTAAGATGCTACGTGTTTTAGATACTGCAATATGGACTTGAAAGCTGGACATTGAAGCAAGAACACATAAAAAAGTTATAGTCCTTTGAAATGTGGTATTACAGGAGGATGATTAGAATAACATGGACACAGAAGAAAACTAACACGGAAGTATTGCGAGAAATGGGCAAAGAATGCAAAATAATAAACACAATAAAAATAAGAAAGTTACAATATCTGGGACACGTAATGAGGGGACAGCGATATGAACTGCTAAGGCTGATAATACAGGGAAAGATAAGAGGAGGAAGGAGTATAGGAAGAAGGAGAGTCTTATGGTTGAAGAATTTAAGGGACTGGTTTAAATGCAGTTCTATAGAACTCTTTAGAGAAGCAGTAGATAAAGTAAAGATAGTGATGATGATATCCAACCTCAGATTGGGAGACGGCACGTCAAGAAGAAGGATGCCAACACAGGCGAGAGGCTACAAAAGAATACATGACAAAAAGAATAATACAACAGATTAAAAAAGAAGGAAATATAAGTGAAAAGATATACAAAAGTATGAAGAGATACAACGAATAATATTAAGGAAAAAATCAAAACAGCTAAAGAAATGTATTTGATGACATATTGTAAAGAGATAGAAACAAAATATGATAGGAGAAATATGCAAAAGAAATATGCGAAGTGACCAAAATGGGTCAAAGAAGTCAACAAGGACACATAAAAGACAAGAATGGAGTACGGCCAAAAGATTTACCCTAAAAATTAAAATGATGGGAGGAACAGGTTAGAGAACTTTAAGATAAAAGGTGGTAATATGCTGAGATACAAGAATTACATTCTTTAGAGAGAAAAGACCACGATAGATAATATGACGACCTATACTATGAAAAACTCTAAAGACAATAACGCAACTGGATTAGACGAAATACCTGTAGCACTATTAAAACTAGTGGAAGAGAATAACTTGGAAATATTGGCAGATTTGTTTAACATGGTGTACGATACGTGAATAATACTGCACGATTACCGAACACTGAATCGCAGACAAATAAGTTAAGTAAAAACCATTTTCTCACTCCGAAAAATGTCACATCCAAAACCATGTGTGAAAAAGAGGAAGAAAAGGGATTCATGGTAGTAAACACAAATGACAGTGTAGACAAAACTAGATATTCCATCGCTCTAATAACATTGGTAAAGGCAACTCTTTTTGCATGTTAGGTGCAAAGTCAAGGTAAAAAAGAGAGTGTCAAGGTCTTTTCAAACACATACTGGATTACGCCAGGGAGACAGCCTATCGTGCCCATTGTTTAACATCGCGCTAGAAAGAGCCATAAAGAAATCGGGCATAATAACCAGAGGTACGATCATCAATAGAACTGTACAGACAGATGACATTGACGGAGTTTATATATCTTGGAACACATTTAAATAACAGCCACCTAGTAAGCGTAGAAATTAAGAGAAGAATATACCTGATGAACAGAGCTTACTTTGGACTAAAGCAGTTCTTAACACCACACCTAATTAGCAGAAAAAACGAAGATACTAATATATGAAACTCTTATTAAACGTGTCCTGACATTACGCGCCAGAGACATGACGTAGGCGCTACAATTTTGAGTTGTATCAATGCTATGAAAAATGCAACATCGTCCGCTCTATTAAAATTATTAGACTAAGGTGGCTAGGACACCTTGAAATAATGGACACTGGAAACCTGAAAAATATATCTGAAAATAATAGTCGCCACACCTCTAAGGAATCATCTGCATCTCTCAGAATCCTCGCTTTATTACATGCTTCTGGTAAATGTATAACAAGATTATGAGATCGTGTTCTAATATTAGCAGCTAAAGCTTTTTGAGCCCATTAGCCCATTTATTTACGATAATATTTTGGACTTAATAACTGAATTATAAAAATTCTTCTGGGTTCAACAACACTCGCTTTATTTACGGTTAAATGTGTATCACGAACAGATACATTTTAGTTAATTTCTTCATCAGTAGATTGCCTATAGAGTCAGTCTAATAATCCAATCCTCATGTGGGACATTTTCACAGGAACAGGATACAGAATGGGAAAGAAAGAAATAAAAATATTCTGTTACGTAGATAATGCAATATTAAAAGCTCAAGATGAAGATAGTCTGCAAATACTAGTTTTACAGATTTAACATAAGAGCAAAAGAATTCAATATGACAATATCATCTCAGAAAACTAAAACAATAGTTATCAGCAATAAACTAACCAGATGTAAAATAGAAATTGATGGCATCAGTATCAAACAAATAATCGAAATAAAATATCTTGGAATTATACAGTTCAGCTATGGAAACCTGGACAAAGAAGTGACTAGACTGGTAGGATGCCTTAATAATACTATACGGCGAAACAGACACCTTAACACTGAGATGAAATCAAGAATTTATAAAGCTAGTGTAAGACCAATAATGATATATGCCTCAGAAATAAGACTTAACACAACACAAAGGCTACTGGAAATGGCAGAGATAAGAGTACTAAGAAGAATTACAGAAAATACGCTGAGAGATCGAAAGAGAAGCGAAGACATTGTAAGATAATGTAACGCACAGTGTTTAAATGAATGAACACAAAAAAAAATATCCACAAAAGCAGAATAAAGGAAAGCCGTGTCACCAATTACCAAGAAATAAATCACCAACTGGCAGGAAAAGTATCGGACGACCGCGCAAAATATGGAGTGACAACCTTCCATAGCGGTACTAATTTGCCAATAAACAAGCAGAATTGCTTACAAAGAGAAAGAAGAAAACTGTCCTCAGCACCACTGTCCATCAGTTTTTTACTCAAATTCGGATTCGTTACTGTAAAATGCGTTCTTGACGCCAGAGACTAGCCATTATTATTACACACTGTGTGGTAAAAAATAACTGTGAAAGTACTAAAAAACAAAATGTAACTGGCCAGTAGTAACAGTAAGTATAACATCTAATGTTAGGAAGGTACTGGTGAAAATGAAGCGATTTAGGAAAAATAACTTTCAGTATAAGTTTGTCTACCTGCCTGGGTCAATATGACCCCACTTCCCCAGTTAAGGGTTAAAATTTAAAGTATCAGGTATCAGTACAATAATTTTGTAAGTGTATCAAAACATATCATTTCTGGTCAAGTAATTTTTAACTAAATAAGTCCAACAGTGATTCCCCATAATAAAAATCCTGTTTTGTGCTTTTGAATCAATTTTATGGTTTTATTTACTCAGACATCGATAAAGTAATCAATAATATCAAATTTTTATTATAGTATTAGCAAAGTAAATACATTGAGTAGTTTAAAATTAACAATGAATGTTGAGAAAGTTCAAAATACTGATAACATTGAAATCTAATAATAACAGAATCATGCAATATTATGATTTAAATAGATCAATATGATCTGAGACTAATTTCATACTGTTTACAAATATGTCATTTATGTTATTTTTAGACTACCTAGCAACCTACTTTATATTTTAAGTAAATATGATAAAAATGTGATAGGACAATAATTATTATGTCTTATTGTTTTCTTGAAAAGATTTCAAGGTTTAACAAATACTATTGGGATAGGCTTGTGAGAAATAATAAAACGTGTTTACCTGCTTACATATAAACGCTAATAAAATTACACATAAAGATAACTTTATAGATCTAATAAGAATAGCTAGAGTGGCTGTCG